TTAAACAAATAAAACTTTTCAAAAAAAAAAAGGTGATCACTTGTGGTACAGTGATAGTAAAATACATACATTTTTTTGATTCAAAATGTACAATTCAATTTGAATGAAGTATATGTAATGATTGTGGAAGAAACGCACGAAATGTATTTGTAACCAATCGACATGCTTTCTACAAGATGTAATGAAGGACGATTCTTTTTTGTGTGTGTTTTTGTTTAATTAAACAAATAAAACTTTTCAAAAAAAAAAAGGTGATCACTTGTGGTACAGTGATAGTAAAATACATACATTTTTTTGATTCAAAATGTACAATTCAATTTGAATGAAGTATATGTAATGATTGTGGAAGAAACGCACGAAATGTATTTGTAACCAATCGACATGCTTTCTACAAGATGTAATGAAGGACGATTCTTTTTTGTGTGTGTTTTTGTTTAATTAAAACAATAAAACTTTTCAAAAAAAAAAAGGTGATCACTTGACTCCGGGACACTGCAATCATCATAAACATGAGTCAGATGCCAAGCATTTGAGTTTTGATCACATGACCATGGGGATACATGCAATGGTTCTAAGCGTGAAAAACGTTCGTAAGTCCCTTTTTTCAGTAACATAAATTTGAACGGTCACTAAATGAATTGTTGTAAGTCGAGGACTACCTGTAATATAAGTATTATAGAGTATGGGCATAAAATGGAGGAGTGGGGAATTGTTCCAGATGGAAACAGCTGATTTTTCATTTCTTCCTGGAAGTTTCCCGCAAGGTTTCCAACATGGGTTTATTTTCTCAAACCAAAGGAAAACAGATTTTTTTTTTATACATAAAGGCTACATTCAACACTTCAGAGGAACTACTGTAAAAACCACACTGGGTGGTATCATATGATTGTGTTAGACATAGTACAACTTGCGAACATCTCCGAGATAAATTTTGCATCATGTTCCAGCTGCATCTTTGAACAATCAGCCTTTGCCTAAGAACAACATTAGTAAGATTGATGACACCAAAGGCCCAGCATGTTTAACCTTCTCTTCTAAGGATGGCAGGTCCAGAAACTGACCAAATGGAGATGTACCACTTCAAACCGCGCAGAACATCAGCTTTGGCTGTGTTGCTGCATCATTTTAGCATTATTTAGAATGTGACTAGCGAACCTCCTTCTAGGAGCGGACCTCTTTCATGGATAAAAATACTTATAGGCTAAACATTTCGCTTTCTCACAAAGATTATATTTTCCAAACAGGGGGGCAAAGGCAGCCTCTTTATGGAACATCCTGGGTTCCTGTGGTTTTAGGAATTCTGACCGCGCTGGTTACAGCAGTTGCCTTAGCCCTAATTCTTCTACGGAAAAGAAGAAAAGAAACGCGGTTTGGGTAAAAGTCTTTTTTTCCCCCTTTTTTTGCTGTTCATCATTCCCATTGTAATTTCAGTATCCCTTTGTTCTGAGATCCTCAAAATGTTGCCGCCTGATATGTCAGCAGGAATTCCTTAGCTGGCATAGCGTTTAACCATGTCAAACATTTCATTTTCATTTTATGTTTTATATACCCTTTCATAGTCTTTTTCATATTCTCTCTCTCTCCCTCCCTCCCTCCCTCTCTCTCTCTCACACACACACACACTCACACACACAGTCTGATGTGGGTATGGAAAATATGATAGTCTTTGTCCTCCTGATTGAGAATTGAAATTTTAAAATATCTGCTTTCTGGAATGGAAAAACTGATGACCTAATCAGTCTTTCCATTCCATAAACCAGCCCTCCAGACACAACCAGTTTTCCTGGAACTGAAAATATGAGCATGCACACGGCATCGAAAACCCGGCGATTATATATAGGACGTGATAGCACCAGGGCGGGTGGGTGGGTGGGCGGGCCCAGCCGCTGGTTGCAACTACCGGTTCGCCCGAACAGGTCTGAACCAGCAGCCACCCACCACTGTCTTTATATAACAACCTGTAGAATTGGCTTCCAGATTTCCCTGTGCCACTGACTATATTACACTTTTGCCAATAAGATAGTAGAGAAAGAAGGAACCATAAGAAGAGAGTGGCATAGGTAATAATGAAGCAGCAGCAGTAGATTAAGCCTTAGAGGAATGCTATTTTCCCTCCCTTACAATACTGTATTGTAAATGTAACCATTTTCCAGAGACCCTTTGGAAGTCTGAAAGAATTTTCCTGGGTCTTCTGATATTTTGCACGGCCTCAGAAAAAAGAAAATAGTTGCCAAGATAAACAGGTTCTTAGCTGCTGTCTGTAGTAAGTACATAACTTAGGTTTTCTGGTACTCTACTTTGCACATTTTATGAGATGTTCATTGCTTTCCCCCCTGTTTAGTCAAGCCTTTGGCAGTGTGGTCGGAGGTGATCCTATAGTCCATTTCAGAGCAGTGCGATCATTCAACCGAGAAGTCCCAGAGCTTATTGAAGTAACATGTAAGTAAAATATATGTGACTCTTTCTTCAGCAAGTGTATTTCCATTCTCTTAATGGAAATTCTCATCAAACCATTTCCTAAAGCACTGTGATGATGATAATAATGATGATGATGATGACAATGATGATACATGTAATATTCTATTCATTTGCCAAATTGAAAGACTACATAAGATCATGCCTTATGCAAAATTGGTACCCCTATCCATGTTCCTTTGACTTTTGTAGGTTGGGGGGGGCACACAACAAAACTGGATTACCATGTCATCAAGGATCTGTTTTCATTCTGCTTCCTTTTACCTGAATCCTGATTCAAATTATTTATGAGTAAAATCAATATCTTATTGGGTATAAAATCCAGCTGACCATAGAGTCTATGTTCTCACATAAACTGGAGACGGTGATCCAACTGAAGTTTGAAGCAGTGATACACTTTTGTACTATATTTCAAATCAGAGTTCAACTATTGTGCTGCTGTTTGGAACTTGATTATAGCATAACAGATAGAACTTGCCATCTTCAGATTGAAGCATAAATTGCAATCTTTGAGGTTGATTCACAGACACTGTTTAAAGCAATCTGTTCCCACCTGTATTCTCCAGACTGTAACCCCCAGAATTGCCAGTTATTAAGTGGCGATGACCACGATGGGAATGGCTGGATTTTAAACTCATATTTCCTATCATTCAAAGGAAGTAGTGCAAATAATTTGAAACACTGAAATGTTTTAGCACTGAAAAAAGCAATTTTATTGCATCTTTGTTGCTTTACATCTTTTATAAGAAGGGAATCACTTCCTAGGGAGTAAGAGTGAATTTATTTAATTCATTTTTCATGCACCCTTACTTAGTGTTCTTCAAACTGCTGCCCTTCAGTGCATCTAACCTTAATTCCCATGTTTTCCACTCATGGTATCAAAGGTTGTGCTAGCCAAATATAATGAGAGCTTGTAATTTAACGCATCTCAATGCCCATGGTGAGGGAAGTTTATTCTAAACTATGCAACATTAACTGTTCCTTGGATCAAAAGTATATCAATCTAGACCTGTGGTGGTGAACCTATGGCACGTGTGCCCGAAGAGGCACATGGAGCCATGTCGCCTGCACATGCAGCATTGCCCGTTCCTCTTCTGTGTTTCTGGCGCATAGGCGCACACAGCGATCAGCAGGCCATTGTGCATGTGGCAGTGCCGGAAAACAGAAGAGCTGGTCTTCCATTTTTCGGTGTGAGCATGTGCGCCGACCAGCTAATTGGCATGTGCACATGCGCACCAGAAGCCAGAATATTTGCTGGCTGCTGTGCATGCATGCGCCGGAAACCAAAAGTTCATTTTCCAGCACGCACATGTCCCCTGGGCAGCTCCTCTTCCTCTTCACAGCCCAGGCGAGCGCGTGGGTGCATGCGAAGCGCACACACACACACACACGAAGCGCTTTCTTTTCAGCATCCGGTACCAAAAAGTTTCGCCATCACTTATCTAGACCATGATTAAAGCTAGATTTTCTCCTGGTTAAGTTGCCCTTGTTTTCTTCTGTTTATTCAGTGGACAGTATAGGAATCAGTGATGAATTGAAGACCAAACTGAAAGATGTCCTAATTCAGGAGCAACAGTTTACTCTGGGAAGAATGCTAGGCAAGGGTGAGTAGTCCCTCAAAGCCTACGGAAAATGCACTTACTTTGTTTAAGCCCAGTCCTTATATTGTCGTTTGCAAATATCTCATTTCTAAGGATTTAGCCACACTAAATGGCAGTGACCTAAAGTGCAATAGTTACAACCGAATGTAACTAGGAACTGGAACTTTAGATGGGGAATACTCATCATTCCATCGGTGCTTTTAGAAGAGAACCGAGGCTGATAGATTGAATTATCTTGGGCTAAAAAAGCAGGTCTGGCTGTACATTGCGATTATTAGAAGCATTTTTGAGAGCATAAGATAAGCACCGTATCAAAGAACATGAACGTTAGAAAAAACAAAGAACAATAGTGTAAAGGTGGAACTGGAGAATGCATTTATAAAATGTGTGAAAGCTGCAGGAAATGAACAGAAGGAAAGCTAATAGGGAAGTGGAAACTACAAGGGTTATGGCAGCAGAAATATTTTTGGAGGATCAAGAGAGATTTAGGAAGATTATTGCTGTAGCTTGTTACTAGCACCTTGTCAAACCTCCAGATATACAATGCAGTTAAACAATTTTATGTCCTATTGATTCCAGCATAAGTTGGCATAAGTTTATTACCTTACGTTTCAACCAATTCCTGTTTTTCTGTATTCCTTGGGAAGAAAAAAAATCTGTAGACTTTCAACGCAAATATGGTGGTTTTTATATTCCTTCTCAGAGAATATTCCTATGGAAGAACATATCTGACTGGAAGAAACTCTAATTTAGTAGTTTACATTTTAATAACTTTTAACCGAGGCTTTCTACTCTTAATCTTAAAACTTTAACTGAAGTGTCGATGAAGGTTCTCAGTCATCCAGGTCATGGTTGTCCCAAAGGTGCTTTTTCAAGAGGCAACAGCACTTTCCGGTTTTTATTTGAAGACGTTTCATTTCTCATCCAAGAAGCTTCTTCAGCTTTGATTGGATAATGGGAAATGGAAGGATTTATACTTGCAGACTGCTGATCATTTGTGTTCTTTTAGAGAGTCATTGAGGCCACCTTGAAGTTTATCTATGTCATCAGGGTCATCTGAGTAGTGCAAATGGGTGTGGAATCTTCTTGGAACTGTTGAAATGACTATGTTCTAGACTGGAGACAGATGATGCTGTATCCCACCCCCTCTGATGAGAGAGGGCTGTTCAATTTTTACATAGATGGCTTCTTTGGTCCCTCTTTCAAATCAGCTGTCCTCTCTGTCCAAAATGTGGACTTTGCTGTCTTCAAAACAGTGATTTTTGCCTTTTAAATACAGCTGTCCTGATCCTCCTATGTTGTGTTGTGTTTATGAAGTGGTTGTTTTGTTTCCCCAATTTAACTGCAGTGAACTTATCATACTCCTTTACTTTACTTTTTTTGTAATTTATTAGGGGAATTTGGCTCCGTAAGGGAGGGTCAGTTGAAAATGCCTGATGGCTCTCTCCAGAAAGTTGCAGTGAAAATGCTAAAAGGTGAGTACCTAAATCTAGTAAATCTAAACTAGTTGAACTGTCTCCATGCCATTTTGTCCCCATAAACCTTCCATTTTCTGAGTTTCTGACTATATAGTCACCAAACTACATATAGTTGGCTGTGCTTTATCTGTCTTCCCATTTTCCCTTTTCTTCTATTGCCTATAATTGACATAAAATCCTTGAATGTGTAATTTGTTTATTTCATGTATATGGCAACCGTTCTCATCAGTGCAATTCTGGGCAGTGAACACAATTAAAAATTTCAATATAAGCATAAAAAGTAGAGATATAAGCACAACAAAAGTATAGCATCAAAACTAAGAGCCTTCAGACATCTTCTAGTTGTGTTAGTTTTTAATTCCCATATGCCCCACTCAGTAGCATAATCATGCTGTATTCTATAGTTTAATTTATATTCCATTTTTCCCATAACTTAAATGTTTGACAAATGTGATTCACAATCTGCACATTAGGATTGGTAATTTAAAATATGACTAGTAACACTGTTCATATCCAATCTATTTGTAAATCTATTTGACATATTTAATGGCCAGTTCTATGATTAAACAGATTGCACTGTGCCCGTCTTGAAGTGTTATTCATATCACCTGTTTTTAATGCTTTTCCTATAGACTTCCAACTGCTCTTTGTACATTCTGTTCTTTTTTTGAATTTACTACTAATGAGTTTAAAAGAAATCTCAATAGTACTTCCTTTTCTTTTAGCTGACATCTTCACTTCCAACGACATAGAGGAATTCCTGAAAGAAGCTGCTTGCATGAAGGAGTTTGACCATCCACACATTACTAAATTAATAGGTGAGCATTGTCACATTTAATATTTGCTCTAGAGGGTCCCAAACTATATATTTATCAAATCAAATCAAACATTTATTGTCAATTGCACAACATATGTACAATGAAATTGAATGAGCCTCCCTTGGTGTAGCCTACCCAAGAACACAGAATACATCTCAATAAATCAATACGTAAGAATAATATTATATTACACCGGTATATACATGTTGCACGTTACTCTGGCACTGCAAGTCTATCACATTAGCTTGATTGTGGTGTTATGTTGCATTTTAAGGTCTGACAGCCTATGGATAAAAGCTATTTTTCTGCCTATTCATTTGGCAGGCTATCTCCTGTCCAATGGTAGGAGAGTAAAGAAATGCTGTCCAGGGTGTGAACCATCCCTGAGGATTTTCCTCACTCTGCTGAGACAGCGGGACTTGGCGATTTCATCCAGGGGGGTTAGGGGAAGCCCATGATTTTTTGTGCTGTGCTTATTTGTAGAAGGAAATTTATTAATTTACTAAATCTGTCAATATGGCTGCCCATCTTACAAATCCAACCCTGGGTGGCTCGCAATCTGTTGAAACAATAAAGAAACAATATAAGCAAAGAATTTTAAAAGCAACAATGGTCACCAAGAATAAACCCAAACAAAACAATTAACAGAGGCTTTTCACAGGCCATGTAATAGAAAATTAGAAGGAACGGTAGTCACCAATATATTTGGAGTGTAGTTGTTCTCAGTGCGTATATATACTGTATTGTTACTTCAAATAATTCTTCTGAAGACTATTGTTATTTGATAGTCCTCATTTTCTCTAACATATATTGGTTCTCAAAAATGAAGCAAGTAGTTGCGATGGCTGAGAAGTATGACTACCAGTCTGAAACCATCCTGTTGCTTTAGATCAGGGGTGTCAAACTCGATTTCATTGAGGGCAACATCAATATTGTGTTTGACCTTGGGAGGTGGGGGGGGGAGGTGGCCAGCTATATGTCACTCACATCAGGGGTGCCTGTAGTGGCCCGAGAGTTCTGCCAGCGAAAATGGGCTGTTTCCAGGGTGGTCCTTCAGGTCAGATCTAAGCACTCCAAGGGCTTAGATTTTGACACCCCTGCGTTAGATGGAATGTTTCTGAGTACTAATAAGAAAATATCCCCAATTTGACGTTATCATGAGGTATTTTTGACCGCTACTTGATCCAGATAAAAAGTCAGGTTATTTGAAGAATACCTAGTTTTTTTGATGCCGGAAGTCCTCAACTTACAATACTTCATTCAGTGATTGTTCAAAGTTACAATGGCAGAGGGAAATGTGACTTATGACCCTTTTTTCATAGTTATGACCTTTGCGTTATCCCCATGATCATGTGATCAAAATTCAGATGCTTAGCAACTGGTTCATATTTATGACCTTTGCTGGGTCCCAAGGTCATATGATCCCCTTTTGCGACTTCTCACAAGCAAAGTCAATGGGGAAGCCAGATTCACTTAACAACCTGGTTACTAATTTATCAACTGCAGTGATTTCCTTTGACAGCTGCGGCAAGAAAGATCATAAAATGGGGCAAAACTCACCTAACAGATGTCTCACTTAGCAACATAAATGCTGGGCTCAACTGGGGACGTAAGTTGAGGATTACCTGTACCGCTTAAATATAGCCTTGTGAAGCAAATAAGAGTAGATGGGATGAATGCATGGATTGCATTTAACTAAACTAAGAGTTTAGAAGTGCTGCCTTCTCAGAATGTAGTGTTGTTTTCAGCAGTTTGTGCAGCGGGAGCTATGCTAAGTATTTATGGTCATTTATTACAGGTATCGTGGTTCTTGCAAATTCACATTTCTGTTTTCTTAAATCAGGGGTCAGTTTGCGTAATCGGCCTAAAGGTCGCCTTCCAATCCCAATGGTTGTCCTGCCCTTCATGAAGCATGGAGACCTTCACTCTTTTCTACTAATGTCCAGGATTGGAGAAAACCCCTTTGTAAGTTTTTTTTCTTAAGGCAACACGGAGATTAATTGATCTTCTATCGCTTACACTGTTGTAAATTATTCTCATGTATTAATTTGTTTAGTTCAGGGGTAGTCAACCTTTTTATACCTACCGCCCACTTTTGTATCTCTGTTAGTAGTAAAATTTTCTAACCGCCCATCGGTTCCACAGTCATGGTGATTGATAAACAGGGGTGGGTTTCAACCGGTTTGCGGCGGTCCCTGCGATCCGGTTGGTCGCCGAACCCGGAAGTAAGTAACTTCCGGGAACGGCAAAGCCCCCCCCCCCGCGCCCACATGCCCGCACGCGCCCGCTCCTTACCTGGTTTTGCCAAATTCTGCGCTTCCACGCATGCGCAGGACGCATACAGCGCCTGCGCGATCCTCCAGGAGCAGCTGGAGCATCGCACAGATGCTAGTACGCATGTGTGTGCCACGCGCGTGCGCGAGGACGCCATCAGCCTCGTTCCAACCGAACCGGTTGGAACGGGGCGAGAAACCCACCCCTGTTGATAAAGTAGGGAAGTAACTTTACTTTATAAAATTTATAAAGCAGAGTTACAGCAAACCCCTACCGCCCACCATGAAAGCTGGAACGCCCACTAGTGGGCGGTAGGGACCAGTTTGACTACCACTGGTTTAGTTGGTTGGTTCCTTGCAGGGCTGCTTACTGTATTTGCTGCTACAAGTCCAAAAAGATTCTGAATGGCTTACTTCCTCCTCTTCCAGTAAGTTGGTTAAAAATTAAAATTAAAAACAAACAATAAAATAACTATTGGCAATTACAGCTAAAATTATAAAAGGTTTCAGCATCTAAGGAACAAACATCAAAACACAAATAAGCAAAAGGGACTTGCAGCTTATGTCAGTTCTACTCTCAGTTTTCTTAAACATCCAGGTTTTAATGGCTTTCCTGAAGCTTGTAAGAGTTTAAGGGGGAAGCTGATCCAATAGGGAAAAGGGGTTGCATTTAAGAAAGCCTACCTCATAACTCCCCTCAAGATGATCATCCTTGAGAGAAGAAATTTAGTGAATTTAGTAGGTGGCTCAGTGGCTAAGAGGCTGAGCTTGTCGATTACAAAGATCGGCAGTTCAGCAGTTCGAATCCCTAGCGCCACATAACGGAGTGAGCTCCTGTTACTTGTCCTAGCTTCTGCCAACCTAGCAGCTCGAAAGCATGAAAAAATGCAAGTAGAAAAATAGGAACCACCTATGGTGAGAAGGTAACAGCGTTCCATGTGACTTCGGCATTTAGTCATGCCGGCCACATGACCACGGAGGCATCTTCGGACAGCGCTGGCTCTTTGGCTTTGAAATGGATATGAGCACCACACCCTACAGTCGGGAACAAGTAGCGCATATATGTGAGGGGAACCTTTACCTTTACCACATCATACTAGGCAATTGGAAGAAAGTGCTATTTTAGATAATCAAGTGCTGAATTATGTAGGATTTAAAAATATCATCTAGCATCTTGAATTCCACCTGGAACCAAACAGAGAAACACTGCAGCTCTCAAAGTAGAATTGTAACTTGGGAGAAATCCAGTTTTTGAGTGGATGTATTCTGAACCAATTGAAGTTTCTGGATAGTCATCAGGAACAACCACTTGTAAAGCAAATTGTAGTAATCCAAATCTTATGTGGGCTGTTAATTATATACAATGAAAATGGTTAACACCTTTAACCATATAAAACATGTGGAGAGTTGCAGCTATTTTTAGAACCTCCTGTGCTATCTGCCATTAAATTTCAGATTCAGAAATGCTAAATGTGCATTTCAGGGGTCAAAATCAAGGTGAGCTGGTTAGAATGCAGTATTGCAGGCTAAGTCACTGCTCGCTCCAGGAGTTCGATTCTGACCGGCTCAAGGTTGCCATCCATCCTTCCGAGGTTGGGAAAACGAGAACCCAGATTGTTGGGGACAAAATGCTGATTCTGTAAACTGCTTACAGAGGGCTGTAAAACACTGTGAAGCGGTAAAGAAGTCTAAGTGGTATTACTATTTTGTTGCCAATAGCAGTGAAAGTGTTCTTTGCTAATTTTTGTATGTGTGCTGTGGAAGAAAATATTTGCAGCTCAGGGCTGAGTTTAGGAGTCATGGGACTCTCTGAGCTTCATTGTTTTCTTGCAGATGTTTCATTACTTAGTTTAGGAACTTCATCAATGCCAGAAGAAAGTGGGGTTTGCTTTCAGTTTATATACAAGTGCCTTGCCCTGTCGGTGATGGTAGGCATATTTTGGGTGATCTGAGTTGGTAGGTCCTTGATTGGGGTGTTGTTTATAGTTTGGTTGTTGATCTAGTGTTAAATCTTGGTGTTAATCTCTGCATATCTGTGTGTTGGTTGCTACTGAAGAAATTTTTGGTCTTTTTCTTTTTTTGCTTTTTGATTATCTGTTTTGAATGGCATGTAGATGTTGTTTATCTCTATGTACCTTTGGATGGCTGATTTGTCATCCGTCATGTCAGGCTTCCAGGAATTCTTTTAATATTCTTGGACTTAGCCTGGTCTAGGATGAAAAAAAAATGTTTACTAGCACTGACCCTTGCAAAGTCTTTGCATTCAGACTGATAATGCTGCAATTGAAGTGCAATAGTGTTGTTTAGGGTTTTTTTTATTGAAGTATTTTTTCAGTCGGGTTAGAGCACATGCAATGCTTGGATTAGAACAGTTGTAAAGACAAGGTTAGGCTTTAAGATATTTACTGGGAGGATTTGAGGACATACAAGAAAGGATTTTTTTAAAAACCAAAACACATTCATTGATATTTGTAACCTGCTTGTACACAACAGATATGTTATTGCTGCTGCTAGATACCATACACAGCTAGAAACATCTAGCCATTGGAAAGCTTTCTCTCTTGCCTGATGTCACGCTTCCCCCTCTGCTAAATTTAATGGATGCTAAATATATATTTAAAAAATCCATTGGTCGAAATCATTTGCCCCTGTGATTCTGGAGAGGTAGAAACTACAAAGTGTGTCCTTCTTCACTGCTCCCATTAGGGAGACATAATAGATATTGGGTCGCCCAGATTCAGCCCTTGCCCGAATGCTGCTTATAGACAAAATGATAATAGCAATAGCACTTAGACTTTACAGGCTTTACGTTGCTTTATAGTCTTCTCTAAGTAGTTTACAGAGTCAGCATATTTCCCCGCCAAAATTGGCTCCTCATTTTACTCACCTTGGAAGGATGGAAGGCTGAGTCAACCTTGAGGATGGTAAGATTTGAACTGCCAAATTGCAGGCAGCTGGTAGTCAGCAGAAGCACTCTAACCACTGTGCCACCACAGCTCCTTGTTTCCTCTTGTTACAGCACATGTAGCTAGATTTTTACAGCAGCGGAGGAGATCTGTCAAAGTCTCATGGGCCAATATCCTGCAATGCATTTCCTATAAATATTAGTTGTTTAAATTTTAGATATTACCACTTCACTGATATTAATAGATATTTTTACTTTCTAGTATTTTTACATATCACACTTAATATAATTTTAGTATATCTGATATAGGTTGTATTCTGGATTTAACATATTAGACGCTAGCTAGGTTATTTAACAAATGTATTTTAACTCTGTCTTAAATTTTATTTGTTTGTATTGGTCTTTGAACACAATAAATTAAATCCAAAATTGAAATTCATATTTGTACATTAACAGCCTATTGATTCTTGGAGTGACAATTTTTTTTCTAAGAAAAATCATTGATATCATTTAAATGAAGGAAATTGCAGGGCGGTTCTTCCTACATTATATTATTTGTTTTGCAAAGTTTTGCCAGTTGAGAAAACATACAACACAAAGTAAAAAGAAGGCCCTTCTCCTGATGTCCTGCCTCTTATGTGCAGGGAATTTGTTATAACTTGGCCTCTAACGTGACTAGTAGGGAGAGCTTCTGCTTTCCATGTGTTGTTAATTCATTTATTTTTAAACACTCTTAGTGAAAGACCAAAATGGTTGTTTCCACAGTAGGATTTAAGATTTAGGATTTTCTATGCTACTGTGTTTCCCCGGAAATAAGACAGGGTCTTATTTTCATTCAACCCCCCAAATAAGCGCTTGGCCTTATTATCGGGGAGGTCTTATTATTTTTGAGGTGCAGGATGTGGCGAGCATGGTCACCTCATAGCTGCTGATGTGTTGCAATATTTTCGGGGAGGGATTATTTTCAGGGGTGGGCTTCTTTTAGTGCATGTGCTCAAAAGTCCGATTGGGCTTATTATCCGGAGAGGTCTTATTTTTGGGAGAAATGGGGTACTTTTGTTGTATAATTTCTGGAACTCATAATGGCTTAAAATATTACATTTTCTTCCTAATAATCTACCTTCCACTGTACTTCTTTTTTTTTTTACAGAATTTGCCTCTGCAGACCCTCTTAAAGTTTATGATTCACATTGCTAGTGGCATGGAATACCTGAGCTCGAAAAACTTTATACATAGGGATCTAGCTGCTCGGAACTGCATGTAAGTTCACAATGTCCTTATAAGAAGAGTTAAAGCATGCATAAAAAATAAATTTAGAGGCGCTAGATTGGGAAGGCCTTATTGTACCTATCTGGGGGAAGAATTGGGGCTGAGATTTAAACAAAATACTTGAAATTTTATTCTAAGAGACAGGTAGTCTTCAACTTATCACCACAATTGTGCCCAAAATTTATGTTGTTAAATGAGACAGTTAAGTGAATTTTGCCCCATGTTTAATCCATTTTTTCTTGCCATAGTTGTTAAGTGAATCACTACACTAGTTAACGTTAATTAGCACGGCTTTTAAGTGAATCTGGCTCCCCCCTTGACTTTGCTTGTCAGAAGGTCGCAAAAGGGGATCACTGGAACACTGCAATCATCATAAATATGAGTCAGTTGTTGAGCATCTGAATTTTAGATCATGTGACCATGGGGATGCTAGAGGAGTTGTAGGTGTGAAAAATGGTCATGAGTCCCTTTTTTCAGTGTTGTAATTTTGAACTGCTGTATGTCGAGGATTATCTATACTGCTCACTTTGATGTTCTGATTGATGAAAGCAAACATCAATACAATACAATACAATAGCAGAGTTGGAAGGGACCTTGGAGGTCTTCTAGTTAAACCCCCTGCCTAGGCAGGAAACCCTATACCGTTTCAGACAAATGGCTATCCAACATCTTCTGAAAGACTTCCAGTGTTGGGGCATTCACAACTTCTGGAGGCAAGCGGTTCCACTGATTAATTGTTCTAACTGTCATTCTCTGTAATTTCTCTTCAGTTGTAAGTTGCTTCTCTCCTTGATTTGTTTCCACCCATTGCTTCTTCTTCTACCCTTTTGTGGCATCAAAAAAATAAATAAAC